TGTAGTGATTTTGTTAGACTTACGCGTTGTTCCTGCGCGTTGCCTTTGTCAACCACAGACATCTGATTCGCTGACCAAGGTTCAATTGTGTATCGAATTTCGTATTGGAATCCTCGAGAATTTTCGGCCCTTAATTGGAGATTATAATTTTATTTTAGATAATTTTTATTGTTTTTATGTAAGTATTTGTGCATGCAATAATTTAAAATATTTTTATATTTTTTTAAAAACTTTAAGAAATCTAGCACCCAGCAATTATAGTATGTTTTAAGCCCACCTATGAGTGTAGATCATATGTATGTGTATGCATGTATGGATTTGTAAGTATATATGAATTTGTGAAGTGGTTTGTTAATGGAGAAAATGTTAGCAGACACCTGTGAAGTCTCGTGCGTGTAAAGAGTTGTTGGTGTTGTTGTTGTGCGAAAAGTTAGTTCGTAAAGTTAAAAAAATTGCGTAAAAGATGAATAAAATATATATGTATATATATAGTTTACATTTTATTATTATTTTAGTATGTGTATGCATGTATGTGTATATGTAGATAAATATATGTGCATGCTCTTTTACATACATATGTACAGTATATCTATATGTATATCTACATATAAATTCTAATAACTGATATGTATATACAGTTGTAAATCTGTATATATTATATATATATATACACTTATGTATGTGAATATATATATGCGTGTGTGTTTGTATGTATGTATGTACGTACAATGTATACGTGTTGAATTTAACATTCGTAACGTATCGCTATTTTCACCACCATCTTCCTGCTCATAATCCTCCTCCTCATAGTCGCCATGCAGTCCACCACTCTCATCCTCATCGCCAGTACTTTCGCTCTCCAAATCGTCAAAAGTGCTCGATGAATGATTGATATTATTCAAATTATCATTTCGATTTAAATTAAAGTTGTTGTTGTTGTTATTATTATTGTTATTGCTATATAAATTACGATTTTGTTGTTGTTGTTGTTGTTGGTGATTATTCAAGTGCATTTGTGTTGTATGATGAGTGTAGGGTGGCACTGCATGCCGATTATTGCCGTTGTTATTGTTGTTATTATTTTGCGGCAGTTGTTGTTGCGGTGTATAGCCTTGGTAGCTGTTGCTGGAGATGCTGTTAACGGCATAATTCTTATTTTCAGCCGCCGAATGACCTGCAGTTGGAATTTCAATTGCAATGTAAATATGTATGTAAAATGAAATTGAAACAAAATACAGTAGATACTTGGTAAAGGCAACTAATAAAGTTAAATTATCCGAAAAGAAATGTTTATATAAAATAATACAATGCGATTCATAAATAATTAAATTTTCACAAAAATCACTACCTAGAGTTTTTCAAACAGTGATAACAGGTTTCAATTGCAGTTATTGAAATTCAACGTTAGCATTCATGTTAGTTTTTAATAACAGAAATCACTTAACGTGCATGTTAAGTAACAGGATACTCACATTTGTAATATTATGAGTAAATCTTTAATTTGGACTTCTAGGTATGGTGTTTTGCAAAAGATAGACCGCTATTCTTCAAAATAATTTACTTTTTTTAAGCTAAGACAATAAAAACCATTTCTGGGATCGCCAATAGTACGACTCAATTTCTTTTTCATACCCTGAACGGCTTTATTTAGTTTGCTGCCCCTAAAGGAGTTTGTAACAACTAAAGAAAACATCGGAAACTCTATAATATATGTATAAATGATCAGCTTGCCGAGCTGAATCGATTTAGCCTTGTCTGTCTGTATATACCGGAACTAGGCCCTCAGCTTTTAAGATATCGCTCCGAAATTTTGCACACATTCTTTTCTCCCGAAGAAGCTGCTTACTTGTTGGAACTGTCAATATCGGTCCACTATAGCATAAAGCTGTCATACAAACTAAACGATCAAAATAAAGTCTTTGTAAGGAACATTTTATTTAGTTGACGAGAAATCTTTATGAAATTTGGCATACATTTTTGTGCAAGGCAACGCCACAATCTTCGAACAAAATTTTCAGATCTTACCCTTATAGTATATAGCTGCCACATAAACTGTACGATCAAAATCAATTTCTTGTATTGAAGCATTTTTATTTGTGATTTACAGCTTCGGTTAAGCCGAATTCAAAGTTTTTTGCTTGTGTCTTTGGGACTGAATCACATCTACTTTTTAACAAATTTAAAACCGCATAAGCCTTATAAACTTAAAGATCTTTATTTCAATCAATTCTTTTCGCCATTTTCATTATTCTGGTTTGGGTAAATCTATCATTATGTACACAATAACAATATTTTAGCAGGAGATGTTGCTTACACCGAGTATGTACTGTAATATTTAATCAGTATATAAGATGGAATGGAATAAAGTGGATGTAGTTATGTGTTGGTGCATTGGTTATGTGAGGAAATATAAAAGTTAGTAAATTATTTAAATAATTTTATTTAAAAAATGCATGCAAATATAATTTCAATGTCCATTGTAAGCCAATTGAAAAGTTTGGTATTCTTTTAAATCAAATATTATAATAAGGCACTTGCAAACCTACGCAAAAATTATAATATTGGGTCTGTAACTATATTTGTGCGATTTGCTAAGAGATGGCATAACTTGATTAATATTTCATTGTTCCAATATTTCGAATATGCATTGGAAAGTGTATTTTTTAATATCTGTATGTCATTCATTTGCAGCGTAAACAACCACAATTTTCTTCACTCATATAAGTGAAACCAATGTTTTTGCGGAGAGTTCTTTTTCATTATTTAATAAACTTCAGCTGAGAGTCATTTCATTTTGGTGGAAATTTATGTTGAAGAACATTCAGGCTGGACAAAAAAGTTTGAAGTAGAAGAACTTGAAGCATTATTCAAAGAAGATTATTGTCAAACACAAGAAGAATCTCCAGAATCTTTCGTAGTCACTCATGCATACATATCAAAACGTTCAAAAGCAGCCGAATACATTCAAAACCAAGGAAATTGAGTGGCATAGGAATTGAAGCCAAAATATGTTGAAATACGATTTTGCTTGTCAGAAATGCTGCTTCAAAGCTACAAAAAGAAGTCGTTCTTACATCGGATTGTGATTGGTAATGAAAACTTGGGCCATTACAACAACCCTAAACGCAAAAAAGCATATGTGAAACCCGGCTAATCAACGGCAAGGCCGAATATCAATGTAGCTAAGTTAATGATCTGTATTTGTTGGGATTAGAAGGGTGTGCTATATTATGAGTCTCTAAAACCGGGTGAAACTACTAACGTGGAATGCCGCCGGCAACAACACTTCAAATTAAAGCGAACGATTGCCGAAAATTGCCCTGAACTATTTTGCAGAACGGCGGCTAGTAAGTTTTGCCTCACCTGCCTTTTAGCCCAAACCTTGCCCCTTTGAACTAACATTTGTTTCCGTCGAGGCAGAACGCCCTCACTGGAAAATGGTTCACATCGAACAGGGTATTAAAAATTGGCTTGATCTCTTCTTGGTCGCGAAGCCGGCGTAGTTATTTTTGCATTGAATCCACAAATTGTAAGAATGATGCGAAAATGTTGCAGCTTCAGGATAAAATATACTTTGAGTAATGTTATTGTACAACTCATTTTAATGACAAGTTCAAGCTGCTTCTTAAATTAGTCATTAGTAAATTGTCTACAATTGTAATATGTATAAAGAAGGGTTGCCAATTGATTGCAATGTCCATTCATATTTGCTTGTGGTGATCAAAATATTTAAAAACGTCAGATTTCTTTATTTTAATTACATATATACATATATCCGAAACTTGAGCTATATGATAGTCCGTAAAACAATTGAAATTAATATTACTCATACGCCGTGACAAACAATTAAATGGAGTTTACAGCGGTTTCCAAAGAAACATACACTTTTCCGCCTGAAAATAATAAATAACCGTGCTTTTCGATTTTATGGCCCAAAATCGTTATGCTAATGTGAAAAATTAGAATTATGTAGCAAATGAACAAACAACTAAAAATCATCAACGTAGATCCCTTAATCATTGAGTCGTGACGTAATGAATGAAGAAGAGAAGGTTTGTCTCAATTCTTCTGTGTTGACCTTTAGTATTATCAAATAATCCACAAATATCGGGCTCAGACCCCATTGTAGTACTTACGGTAACGCAAAAACTTTGTTAATAATTTTTCTGTTTGTTTTGTCACAGTGAACTATAACATATATTATGAGCACAGCGGCTTAGAAAAACGCTGTGAACAGTGCTCTAATGTCAAGAAACAGTCGAAGATCAGCATTCGAAGACCTATTCAACACGAAAATTTAAGGCGATAGCTATGAAAAATACAGCATACATTTAGACCAGTTAGATAACCAATGGGAAACCTGTTGTCTATCCTATATGTTTAATCGGAAATTCCGACCAAACATTCATCATAAAAAATAACATATAGCTCATAAAGCTGATGTCTCGAAGTCGTACCATGAGCCCAATTTTATTAATTTATATTCGGTTTAGTACTTATCCCAGTTTTAGAATTTCCAGGAATTAACATTTTTCATGCAGAGACATTATGAGTAATCAATGAAAATTTGAATGAATTCACCCTCCCCGATTTTTAATTGTTATTTATTAGTTTTCTTGCAAATTTATTTTTTATGCGGGCATTCATAATAACAATGTATTCCCTCAATATTAATATAAAAACCTAAAAATAACTGTTAGTAATGGCTTCGTTGGCCCGAATGCAAAAATAAAAAAATTAAACAAAACTCACGATTAATTTCATCTTTGGAGAAGCAATCATTCCATTCGGTCAGTGTCAATCGATCGTCGTCATCCAAATCGCAGAACTTGCCAAAAGCACGTCCACAACGTCTCGGTTTCACCGCCTGTGCAAAGAATTTATAATTAAATAATAATAATTCACCCAAAGAGACAATGTATTCAGTAACATTCATTCAACAAATTGAGAATATGTATATATATACATATATATATAGTATATATAAATGACAACTCACCCGCTTGACGAGCTTCTTCAATTCGCGGAATTCATTTTTGTCCAACATTTGATTTGCATTCACATCCAAGTAGGTAAATTTCCAATCGAGCACCAACTTATCATTGGACGCACCCTCCCCACCCTCCGCCATTTTGACGGGCAGGGCACGTTTCAGCTGTCCCGCTCGCACGTATTCGCTTTGAAAGACTTTGATGAGATTGGCATTGAAGGCAGCACGATCGATGGCGGTGCACGTGCGCCGGAGACGACTTGGACTCACGTGACGTGACGGTGATCGACGTATATTCGCCTTGGTGTACTCGCGACATTTGGGCTTGCCATTACGGACCGATGTATTCTCGATGGGTTTGCCGGTGATGTCGCTACACCAACAACCCATATCGCCTAGGCATTGAACAGCCGCATAGGTGCCGTCCGACTTGCAGCGTGGTATGAATTTTGGTGGACCGCTGGACCGATGCTTGAGCGCATATTCACGTGCCTCTTTGCAAGCTGCTGGTTAAACGAAATGGTACTTAGTTTATTTTGCTGTATGCTTAAAAGTTGTAATTTGACCCACCTTTGCAGTGTCCTCGATACTTGAGACTCACTTGATAACCGCTGCATTGTGCGCGTAATAAATGACAGCGCGTGGGATAGGTTTGATCGTCTGTGCCACAGACGGGGCGACCTTTGCTTTCATCACATTCGCCACCCCGGGCAGCACATTCAGATATCTGTGGGTAAAGTATAATTTATTATGAGGTTTGAGGATGTATATATTTAAGAAAATAATGTAGCGTAGTGGAAGTTTTTGATAAATCAGGTCAATATATCGTATATATGGTCTAGTAAAAAGAAAAACATTATTTTTCAACAGATAGTTTTAGTAAACCGTATCTTGAGTTGTATAAAAATATGGTCATTGTTAGATCGCGGTGAGCCCGAGTCTACGGTGGCCAAGAGAATACCGGTGAGGAAGGTTTGGCTATGTGTTTGGTGGGATTGGCAAGAAATTATCTACAATAAGTTGCTCGCCTACGACCAAACTCTTAATTCGGAACTGTTCTGTCAATAATTGGACCGCCTGAAGGAAGCAATCGCTTAGAAGCGGTAAGCTTTAGGCAAGTGGAGAAGAATTTTGTTCCATCGGGATAACGCCAGACCATCTACATCGAAGAGCCGGAAGTTAATTGTGAGATTATTATACATCCACGTTATAGTCGAAACCTGGCACCAAGTGGTTACTACCTGTTCCTGTCTATGGCGAATGGTTTTCCTGGTGAAAGTTCGCCTCAAGAGAAGCTTGAGAAATTCGACTGTCGCGGTTTTTACGTTCCTTAATTGGCCTAGGAGATGCAGTTGAGCTAGCAGTTTTTGAGAGTTGTGTGAATGTTTGGGATCAAAAACCGATGTGGATTTGAAGCTTAAGATAATACATTCTCGAAAAAGAGGGGTGCTTTGTTCTTATTAACGGTTCGTAAGAAGATATAAAACCTGAAAGAAATGTCTACATTCGACTTTTTAGGGATGTGACCTAAAGTCTATGTCGAATGCCTATTCTGTACCAGAAGGATGACCTTTTTTTTTTTCTTTCCTTGCCTTAAAGTCATAAAGAGTGTGTGCGATCTAAAGTCAGTTGAACAAAGAAAAGGTCCGCGCACCACTTCCATTTTATTGCAACTTCTGTCCGAGAGATTATCAAACTAATGTCGACTGTTTTTGAATATAAGACCAAACCAAACCAAATCTTAAGAGATGAGAGGAACCTTCTGAACCCCAACGGAGTATTTCAGAATTGAATTCCCCTAGGGAGGAACATAAAACAGAGGCTAGAGCACCTCGTTTTTTACACCCTGACCAGTTTGTAGCACCCAGAAGTCCCTCAGTTTTTGAGATGTTGATCTGAAATTTTACAATCATCCTTTTCTCCCCAAGAAGCTGCTCATTTGTTGTAACCGCCGCTATCGGACTACTATAGCATATTGGTTAGGTTAGGTTATACTGGTCGGCCATACAAATTGAAGGATCAAAATTAAGTTTATGTAAGAAAAAAATTTTTATTTGACAAGATATCTCCATGAAATTTTGCATAAATCATTCTCCGATGCTTATAGCGTGATAATTTTCGGATTCGCAGATAATTTTCGGATCGGACCACTATAACATATAATTTTCATAAAAACTGAATGATCAAAATCAAGTTCTTGTATGGAAACTTCTTCATTAGTGGAGGGTATTATAGCTTCAATGCATCCGAAACTGACGTTTCTTGTTTTACTTTATTTTTGGTCCGTATTGCCAACTGAGTTATCACACTTAATCTAACCTCACTTGGCGAAACTATATCAACTCTCATTATTCCATTTCCTACCGGTTACTTTGGTGTGGATTCTTGGTTTAAGCAATCGGTAAAAGCGTATATATCACGTTTGTTTATTTCTTCTGTAAATTATAGTAGATATGTTTACTTCTTGACTGTATAACATACAAATATAAATATACAAATAAAATGGATATTAGTCATAACATAACGTTTCACTTCGTTATTTAGACATTGATATCTGACTCCCAGAGCGCCAAACCTAACAAGAGGAAGGCGACAAGCTCCTACAACATTGCTTATACTCAACAACAACTACAAGTATGTTACAAATGTACAAATTGTCAATGCAACAGGGCTGATTGTGTCATGTTTTTATGCTGATGAATGATATGAGGCTACAAAGCCACCTACTTGTATATTACAATGCAAGTCTGCGTTTTGAGTTAAAAAATGTGTGTGGAAGCTACCGCAACATTTCACGGTATTTACAATGAGCACGCGCCTGATAAAAGCGAACACGCTACAAATGTGAAGCTTCTTTATATTACTCACTACACAATTCACTACGAGGGTTTTTTGATAAGTCGGTGGTATTTTGTACAGAACCAATTTGGTGAGCTTTTCATATTAATAAAGAGAGAAAGTATTGTCCGGAAAGGTTTAAGGCCCTAAAATTTTAAGTTGTCATAGAAAGTCTAAGCGATTCTGTAAGAAGATTTTTAATGTCAGTTAGAGACTAGAACCCTCGAGATTTGGTGGCCATCACAACGAAATTCTGCAATTTTAGATGTTGCGTCGGTCAGGATTTAAAACTACGCCTAACCAAGAAATACGCAACTATTTTCACAATTACCTACTACAGCCGCTTACAATGAAAATACAATATATTCACAAATGTGTACATATGTATATAATATATACTACAGATTTTGTAAATTGTGGATTATTTCACCAAATTTTTAGGATGGGTACGTGTATTTTGAACATCTAATCAAGTACAATAAGAATACGTTTCTGCGCCGATTTGTAGCAATAGCTGAACCATGGATGCATCATTACACACCTGAGTCTAATCGGCAATCCGCTGAATGGTTTTTGCCTCGTGAAAGTCGTCCTAAGCGCCCGAAACCCCAACAGTCGGAGGTCAAAGTTTTAGCCAATATTTAATGGGACTTATATGAAAGTATTTTAATTGACTAATTCGAATATGGCAAAGCAATTAATAGACAATTTAGCTCTGTGTTATTGTATCGATTGTACGTCGTGATCTTTGTAATGGTGTTAACTCGTTTAACAGAAAATTAATTATCTGGTACTCGTCCAACGTGATCTTTATTTACTTAGCTTATTTGGCAGCATTTTGCCAGCTCTGCTTCTATTAGATTTTCCATGTTCACAATGTCTATATGATCTTAGAAACTTTAAAAATAGATATTATTTGGACTATAATTTTCATCTTTTTTATCATTGGCTTACAAGAAGGAGCACTCTTGCGTTTTTCTCTTGCGGGCGAGCGTTGGATTTATATACTTCGTTTGAACTCCTCAAGATGTCCATTGAACTACTTGCTCTTAGCAAGGTTTATCTTGTCGTAATTGTAGAAGCTCTAACTAGACGTTGGTGTGAGGCTAAAAATCTTGTCGGCCACAAATTGTCTAAATTTTATAGAGCAAGGTAAGGTGGAAACATTTAGACATTTCCTTCTACACTTTCCAGCTTTCTCTAGACTAACATTGAAACTTCTCGGTAATCATACCTGCGGCGAACCAGGCGAATTGGCTGGAATAGACATTATTCGCCTAAAAAATGTTTGACAAGCGCAAAGTGTATCGTCCCATCGATACTTAGAAGTATTTAGCATTACAAAGGGCCGACTTTTAAAATGGTAACCTTCGTGAGCTTATCGCGAGTAGCAGGCCCGTAACCTAAGCATACGTTCTTTAATAACTCTCATGCATGCTAGTTAATAGTGCAGTATCGCATTTGATTTAACTGTTTGTTAAACTCAAACCCTTCTTGACTCGTCAAACACGCCTCGTATGTGCAATATACGAGTATATGTATGAATATGTTTATATATCTTCTATATGTATAATAATTACGTGTCACGTTTGTCCGGGGTTAGCTCCTATTCTACTGAACCGATTTGAGTAAAATTTAGCACACAGTGTCCAGTTTGATCCAAGATTAAAGGTAGGTAAGTTTAAATCTCAAATTGTAAAAATTAAAAATAATTCATTAAAAAAAAAATATATACATGTGTTCAAAATTGAAAAGTTGCAAATTGAAAAATTTGCAATAAAATGCCATATGAAAAATTGATTATTTTTCCATTGAACTCAAGTAATTATCATTTGAATATTTTACTAATTACAAAAATATTAAATAATTTGTTTATTTTGAATAAAATTACCAGAAGAAAATAAAACGATAATAAGCGAGACAACACTGTTAGTACGATTTCGGTTCTACACCGTTCATATGACGCACTACAATATCCATTAATATTTTGGCAAGGACAGGATGCATATAATCTCAATATCAAACCGTGTGATTCAAAGACCGGTAAATTTTAAATTAATACATTTAATTCAATAAAAAAAATAATAATTTTGACTGAAAGTTTAAAGGAGAAATAATCATGCTACCACGTATTCCAATGATACCGTTAGAGTCTTCTAATAAATTCAGAAGACTACTGTTCCCAGTTCGTTTAGCTTTCGCCATGGCTATAAATAAGTCTCAGAACTAAACAATAAACTAAATGTTAGTGGTTTAAATTTGAAAAAGCCATGTTTTTCTATGGGCAACTATGTATATGTTACCTGCTCAGGTGTAGGAAAACTTTCGAATTTTTATGTTTTAGCTAGGGACGGATTAACAAAGATTATTGTATTTTTTCCATTTTCTGAGCAAATTTACCATAGAAATGTATAACATATATATTTTTTTATACCATCAGAAAGTGAAGATTTCAACAAACATAAAGCCTACTGATTTTTTTAAAAAATCTGAAATTTTAACGTGAGAATTTTTGATTAAAAATAAAAATACAACAAATTTCATGAAAGAAAAAAAATATTGTGCAATATAAAAAAAAAACTCAAAAACTTGGTAATTTGAATTTTTCACATAAATTTTGAGGTTATCTGAAAAAATTCTATACACAAAAGTTATAGATCTCATTGCCTACAACATTGCTTTATGACGTTTTTTATGAACTCGTAAACCCTTAAACTCTTTACCCTTAAAAATTCAACCCCGCGCATCCCCTTCCTTTTCTCGTACTTAGATCGCCC